CAAAAACCTTTAGGACTTGCCATTACTAAAAATCTACTGAGAGCTCACCTTAAGAAGCACCGGATTGTCAGCCTGTGTAGGTGTTTGCATAAGTCACTTGTACCACTTTTTAGCAGGGAGAGATGAGAGATGCAACTAAAAACAATCACAAAAAAACCAATTCTGTGGAAGAAGCATCCAAGTGAGCTCCCTGATTGGCCCTCATGACTTGATGTAGCTGTTTTGTTATTATGGCATCCTTCACTTTCCCCCTTGCTACTTCAGTTTTGCACAAAAGTAGCTTGGGCATATTTTCTCCATGAGCTTGTCATGACAGAGAGAGTTTTCCTTTGCACAGTTGATGCTTTGGTGCTGACTTTGCTCTCCCTCCACACAGAATGGAAGCAAGTCAAGCCATTTCAACTCCTACTTGATCTATTGGCTAGTGCAATAGACCAATTTCTATGCGGGGCAGAGCCACACTATACATTTAAAGCACATTCAGTGCACTTTCAAAGCACATGACTCCCCCCCCAAATCATGGGAGCTGTAGTTTAAGTTCACAGGATTGGGGGGGGGGGGAGGCTAAATGTGTGTTGGATATGATTTTAATGTTTAGTGTAGATCTGCCTCTAGTTTCTTGGATGGGGCCATTGGGCCTCAGTGCTATGGGATAAACTGCTTCAAGAGAAACAGAATCTGATCTTCCACATAAAACGGGATGCTGTCCTACATGGCTTGCTGGGGCTGGCTGGTGTGTCGGCCAGCTGCAGATCAGCCAGGCTTTGCTGGTGAAAATAGTAACTATTAGTAGATTTAGCAGACATTCATGGTGCCATCATCATTTGCTAATATCTTCTATGATTTTCACACCAGAATTCCAGAATCATGGGGAGGAAACCTAGAAGGTGACCTGCTTTTCTTCACAAGGACACAGACTCGAAACTGAACGAAGACACATCTGATAGGAGACACAAGAAACCCAAACGCAATTATGTGGTTAAAGTAACTGGTGACCAACTGCATCAGGGTGATGATGCCAACACCATCTCCTCCTGATAGAATTTCAGCACCAGAAATATTCTGTGCATCTCCTCCTCCTCCTCCTCCTCCTTGTCCTCTTGCAAGCAGCATGCCGCTCCAGCACAATCAGAGACTCTTTGATTCCTCCACTCGCTGTGGAAGTTGCCTTGTGCCTAAACTGAATTGACAAATGCATTGTAACTACAAATTGTTATTTATTTGTAATGGAACTGTGAAGGTCTACATATGAAGGGAAATGTTAAGCTGTTCAAAGCTGATGGGAGTTCAGCTGAGAGGTTGGTGTTAAGAGAGCAAAACTACAAAAACTTCTAACCCTTCACATTCCCAGCATACTTGTGAATGTCTTAAAAGAAAGAAGGGACAAGGGCTTCTGTCATTCTTCCCATTCCTTTGGCTGTTTGGTGCATGTTTTCCTTAGTATGTCTTTTTATTTTTAAATGCTTGCCAGCCCTCTCAGGCACAGTTCCTTATTGCAAAGGTGTTCACGTTCCAAGTGCAAGGCATGAACCATACTATGGTCACAGCACTCTTGGAATGAAAAGAAGTGATGTACTATTGATTTCTCAAACCCTTTAGACAGTTGGGGTTCCTAGTATAACTTACAATGTGAACTGTAAATTGGGGGGGGGGGACAACCAACTTAGAACTGCTTTGTTTTCTAAGCAGTAAGTATAAGTAAATGGTTGTAAGCATAAAATATATAAAAATGCAAAGGAGACTTAACTTACCTGTTGTAAAGTCTGGTGAGCAGTCTGATATGAAGTTTGTTGTGGCAGGAGTAGGGTGAGTGGATCTGACCACTGGGATACAAGAGCAACAGCCTGTCTGTCCTTACACTTTAGCTTAAAAATTATCATCTAGTTTACCTGCAAAGAAGGTTGGGATGGGATCCTATCAACTTCTTGCAGAACATCTTTGTCCTAGAAAATAAGCTGCCCCAGCAATCTCAGAATATGCTGCAGCTTGACCTGAATGGTCCTTAAGTCTTCCCTTCTTGCTCCCTCTTTTGGGGATATCCCAGCTCTTTTGAACTTCCATAACAGCTGTCTTCCACTGTAGCACCCCAGAGTGTGGCAGAGAGGAAGGGACAATCAAAAACAACTTTCTTAACTCTCTTCCTGGCTGCCATCTGCTTGTACTCACTAAAGAAATAGATCAACTAGCCATTTGAATAATCTCACCACATTTGAAAGAACAAAAACGTTGCTACAACAGGCTTAAGAATTTTAGATCATGTCTTAGATGGTTCCTAGAAAATCAACTGGTTTGTGAAGTGAGTGACTGGATTATTTATCAGTTCTCCAGTAACACCTGATCCAACTTCTGTGGCCTTGTTCTTCATTTCAGTGCTTCTTGTCTCAATGAACTTCTGCTTATGATGACATGTGAAAGTGCTCACCTGCCACTGCCTGACCTTTTTCCTTCCAAGCTTGTTGTCTCTTGGCTGTATTAGACTTTGTGGTATGCCCAGAAGCTTTCCTTCATAAAATAGAAAGAGAGAGAGAGAAAAAGAAAACATTTGGCTTATTTTTCACTGTAGCTAGTCTTTTATACAATAATCTTGTAAGAAAGTGTCTTGAATTCTAAATATTACTCTTTCTAGATTTTTGAAATCAAAAAAGTTTTCAGTAAAAAAAATTTCTTACTTTATTTTACTATATTAGGTAGTAAAAAATGTAGGGTTATTTACCGTAACCTGTCCATTAATACCATAAATTTACAATAGCATTGTAAGAGCATAGTAGGGTTCTAGCATACTGTGTAGTACCTTATGGAGTATTGTAAGAGCTACTTGTCCGAGATGAATTGCTTCTCATCTTGTTACCCGGTTTCCATTGTTGGTTTATTGAAAATTTGTACCCTGTGTCAAATTTCAGGATGTTACTGATAAACTTTTTCAACCAGCAGAAAGAAGTTCAACATTTTTTCTGTCAAATGTAACAGAAAACACTATGTATATAACATTTATGTAGCAATAAATGTGCCATCTTTTTTTTAAAAAAAGCCTTTGTAAATCAGTTATTTTAACACTTTTTTATGCTATTGTGTGTTTGATTTATAAGAAAAAGAAAGAAAGAGAAATTGGTCTTACCCTGAATTTTTCTGTTTACTGGGAATGATTGATAACATTCCTCAAAGGAACATTCCTCCTCCTAGAAGGAACAGGCAGGGTCCACTGAAGCTTTTTGCCTCCTCCCCAGGGGCAGACGTTATGCCTCACATCAGATTGCCTAGCAGAACGGACAACTTGACCCCATACCAACATTTCAACTTTAACTCTGCCATTAACTGAAACCTAGCAGTTGAGAAACAGTACTGAACAGCAAAAGAGAAACCAACGCTAAACAGAGAAGCATAAGAAGGGCTTATCCACAGCAAAGTACAACAGATACCCCCCCCCCCAATGAGTGGAACATACACTGACAGGCAAAACTCCTAACCATATGTATGGCTGTGGCAAGAGTCAAAACCCACACCCCTCAGCTTCCAACAGAAGAAGGAGAGGTGGGTGGAATGTCATTCATCATTCTCAGTAAACAGAATTCATGGTAAGACCAATTTCCACTTTTACCTAAGAATGATGAATGATGGAGGGCATTCATCATGGGGATGTAAGAGCAGTCTCAAGTGTGGGCTTGACACAATACAGGAAAGATCCTAGAACAGATAATTCAACAGACTATGAGCACTTAGAAAAGGATGCTGTGATTACTAAAACTCACCATGGGTAGATTCTCAGAATGCTGGAGAGGCTGCACCTTCATAGGCACATACCTCCACATGTGGTGGGAATGCCCCAAAGTTCAATCCTTTTGGATATCAGAGCTGCAGGAAACAATAGCAAAACACATAATAGACATAACTCCAGAACTAACCTTATTAGATATCTTCCAGAACAACAATGTACACACAGATGACAATGAACTCATAAGTTGCTTACTCTTCAGCAGCAAGAAACACTAGACACTGGAAAGACCTATCAGGAGTGAACATAGACCACTGGTACCAAAATGTATGGGAAACTGCCTACTAGAAAAGGTAACTAGCAAATTTAAATTAGCACAGGGACAAGCAGAAAGGATGCCTTCACCCTGGTGTGGTTCCCCTTAATCACATACCCAGCACAACAGGACAATGACATATCTCCCCCCCCCCCAAAAAAAAACCACACACCTACAAATCAATATGGCTAACCTGACCCCCAACAACCTCCCCCCCTCCACTTTAAATATTTTTTTCAGCTTATTATGTATCATTTCCCAATATTCCTCAGCTACTCTACAGGTCCACCACATATGATAAAAGGTTGGATTGGGCCCCAATCTCACTGAAATATGAGCAAAAGCATTTGAGATTAAGGTGGGTGAGAATCTTAGAAAGAAGCACAGATGTAGAGCCAGCTCTCTGTGAAATGTTCTGTAGCAACAGCAACTAGCCAGAGAGCATAGCTGAATCCTGGAACAGTTAAAAGCTTAGCTTTTCTATTTTATGTGCTTTTTCATTGCATGAATCAGGAAAGGCAAAGGTTGGCCAGAAGAAACAGGCTCTGGAGCAGCAGAAATGTGCAGCCCCCTTCCTCACCCTTCTCATAGCAAAAAGCCATCAAAGGACAGCAAGCAGAACTCATTTAGCAACTATTAAGAACCACAAAGTTCTTGACGATGAAAAATATCCCTGCATTCTTGGCTTCTCTATGTAAGCACCACCAGGGAGCCTGTTCTGAGGTACTTTGTAGCTAGCTAGAAAGGTTGCTTTGAGGGTGCCAAAAGAAAGTCACATAGTAATAATAAAAATAAAAATAATTTAACAACAACAATTACATATGCAAGAAAAACAAAACCTTGAGAAACGAAATTGCCTTCATCCTTCGATTAGCAGTCAACTCCAGAGAGCCTTCTAGAAGCCACAGTTCTTCACTCAAAGCTTCCCAGAACTGCTCGACCCCAGGGCTTCCCAGAGCTGCTTGCAGAGTGGGGAATGGAACTCTCATTGTGCTCAGAAACACCCATATTCAGCCCATGTCTTGTTAACTACCTGCTGAATATAATGTGGGCCCAGAGGACAGCCCTCGCACATATGAGGCTGGAGTGTCTCAGAAAGAGCAGGCAGGCAGGGGGGAGGGGACACTGAGTGCATAGCACTGCACACATCGGAAACTCCAACGAGGTCACCATGAGCAGAGATGCTTCTGTTTTTTAAGATATATCAGAATTTGGACTTAAGAAACAGGCATGTTATGGAAGAAGGAGACAAGTTAACCTGCTAAATGAATCAGCCACCGAGTGCCAAGGTCTCTGTCTGGAGAACATTTTTGTCGTAATTGGATTGGTATGTGGTGGAGAGATGCCTTTGTTTTCTCTGTATATATTCACTATGCTGTTCTATGATTTGGCAGCTCTTCACCGAAGAAAAAATTAGCTACTAATGGATTGTAATTATTAATGGATTGCAATTATTAATGGACTGCAAGAGGGAATCAGCAAGAACTTTATAATGCTTATGGATTAACTGAAAGAATGGAATTGTGTGGAAAATATTGGGATGTTCTGTGGCAATACCCTCTTACGGAGAACTCTAACTTTGATTTATTATGGTGTTGGCGAGATATCAGCTTGTTATCGGATGGGAAAGTATTCAAAGAAAACTCTGGAAGTCTGCCCGGAGTAATGGCCATTCGCCAGACATCAGACCACTTTCGGTTTTGAGAAAAGCAAGATGGCGAAAGGTCACTACGCAGTAAAATTGAGTCCTTGGAGTGGGGGGCGGGGAGGAATGCCGAAAATGATTGATTGCAACAAGAAAGGAAAGTCAAACATTAAAAAAAAACATTCCACACAGAAAGTTACCAGATATAAACTCCTCTTGCAAATTAAAGGATATGGAACAATTTAAAACGAACGAAAGTCAACACATCAGTGGCTGTTAAAATAAAGGATCAACATCGGAACTGTATTATCTGGATTAAATAAGTGGATTGGAGCAGGAACAAGGAATCAACATGACCTAAAAAACTAAAATCAGAACATGGGAAGTCAACCAAAATGTTTAATTTGGAATCTGACAATTGGCTTCTTTAATTTAATTATGATTTGGTATTGTATTAATGTGGTCTATATTGGATTGTTAATAATGAAAAACTAATAAAAATTATTATACAAAAAAGAAAAAAGGAAGAGCGGTCAGGCAGCTTGGCTTGGTGGGTGCTGCACCGATAGAGAACCCTGTCTGCCCACCTGCTCTAAGACCACAGAAAGGATGAGGAGGAAGTGGGGCCAGAGGGCTACCTTCCCAGACAGCTTGTTTGCCTTAGAACTTGTTTATTTTGCAAGGGTATCTGAAATTCTGCCACATTGTCAGCTCTAGATTTCGATGGGCCTTTCAGAATACACCCTCTGTGTATTCCTCCTCACTGTACGGGGAGCTCCTGCTGGGGTCTGGCCCCCTTGGAGATGCCCACTTATGCCAAGCCTTGGGGCATCCCGTTCCCACTGGTGATTGATTTACACCCTGTGAACCTGCCACCAGCTCTAGTATGGAGGGTTAAAGAATACCGATGATGTTTGATCTTCTCCCTGTCGCTCTCTTCAAATGACTGTTGCTTGTTATTTTACAACAGATTTTAATGTAAACAGACAAGCTCCTGATTACTAATGAGAATGACTTTGGGGGGGGGGGCTCAGTGGAAAGAAGTGGCTTTAAATTAAAAGAACGATGAACTGATACAGACAATGAAGGAGCTGCAGGGAGCCTTGAAGTCAATGGGACAGCGTAGTTCTGGAATTCTGATCCTAGCAACATTGCATCCAAAGCAATAGCTTAGAATGGAGAAGGGCAGTTCTCTGTCAATTGCAGCCTTCACAGCTGTTCTGTAGGGAATAAGGAAGACCTTTCCCTGAGCCACTGTTTGTAAAACAGCACAGAGTGTACATACCAAAAGGGGGAAAAAATCAGCATTCATTCTACAGAATCAGGTACCAACTGTATATCTTTTCAGCTGTGCTGCTAGCTTTTACTAACACCCCCACAAGCCTATACACTGCCAGAACAAGACCACCAGGTTAAAACCTACAGGTAGCCATATTCAGCAGATCACAGGACCCCTTGCAGGATGGGGCAGCCTGCCCTAGAGCTGACTCTGAGCTTGTTGGATTCTGGAGCTGGTGATGACTCTAGTGTGAGGCCAGCTGCTGCTTGAGCCCTTCTCCACTTGGAAATATGAGACATAAAGAGGGGCTATTCTTAATACTTAACTGACTGTCTGCCCCCCCCCCCCGGCAAATCCTGGCTACGCCCATGTTATCCCAGGGAGGAGAGTCCTCTCTTGTGTCAAATAGCAGCTTTACGAAGGTGGGGGTGCTATTCTCTGGGACTCAAGTAGAGGAGGAATCGGTTCAAAGCCCTCTGCATGTGCCATTATCTCAATCTCCTCCTTCTTATATATATATATTTTTTAAAGATACAAGTGATGTGAAACCATGTGGTTAATGACAGAGGAGACTGGTTACATTATACAGCAAGAGCTGTTGGTCACAAAATGGAAGGCCACACTTCTGTTGTGTCACCTGTGCGGATGGAGAGCTAAAGGAGTCAGACATTCCTGTGTGCTTTGACAGGCTTCTATGTCAAAAGTGAGAATCGGATCCATGTGCTATAAGGAAAAACTGCTCCTTTTCCCTTATGGGGTATCCAAGAGCCTGTTATAGAGTCTTTAAGTGGGTTCCCTATCAATAGGAGAAAATAACAGAGGCCAGCTAGAGTACGGTATATTGAGAAGCAAAGCGGCTGGTAAGCCTGATCTTTATTAACTGTTGCAACAGGGTCCCTACTCCCCACACGCAGAAGGGCGGACTGAACCCAGAACAATGGTGCGCAAGCCCTTATATAGACTTTTGAAACTGCCCACCCTGTAGCCCAAGACCCCTCCCCGCAAAAAACTTCATACATACATCACAGAAGGAGGTGATCTACAGCAGAGGAGACCTGATAATGGTCACTGGGCAGTCTGGCCATTCTTTTGTGATGGTTAATACTTTTAGTTCCTGAATCCAGGTCACAGGCTCACCCTATTCATACACAAATACACCCTTAAGGCAGGTAAGCAAAATACAATGGGGAGGCTTTCCCATTTCCTTCCTGCTTGCAGGGAAATATTTGAGGTCAATTTTGGAGAGTCAAAATGGCTTCAGGATTGCTTTCTTGTACTATTTCAGACACGTGGTATATACTCATGTATGTGTGTTTGCCTTGTGCATTTATGAACATTTATTCTGTATCTGAGACCTTAGAATTCTTATAACACATGACACCAAAAAGCCAGTGCCAACACTGTGTGTGTGTGTGTGTGTGTGTGTGTGTGTGTGTGTCCTCTTTTTCCAGGACACATCCTCTTTTTCATGGGTATGTAAAATGAGAGTCATCATGGTGACCCATAGTTAAAAGCAGAAGTCGGCAAATGTGTCCTCTTTTTTGCTCTTCAAAATATTGCAACCCTAGACTGTGTGTGTGAGAAAGAGAGAGACAAAGAGAGAAATTCCTTCTGGGACTTCCAGATCCTGTCAGCTTCTCTGCTTAAAAACTGCAAAATTAATTCTGCTTCTGCTTTTGCTGTGTTCCCCTGGGAAAGCATCTATGATCGCACATTTCTCAAAGCAACAGGCAAATAGCTCCCCCGCTTTTTTTGTTTCTTCCAGCAGGCGGCTTGATAAATACCCACCTGCCTAAGCTGCTCCCCAAAGTTGCTTTGATTTCTGGCCTTCAGTCGGGAGTCTCCCTTTCCTGGCAGAGTCTTTGGACTCCCCCTTACATCACTACAGAAGCCGTGATGAAAGTCTGAAATCTCAATCAAAGGCTTAAGGAAATAATAATCCACTGTTGCCCTAATTCTTCCTGGCAAACATCTCAGTCTGACAAGAACTGGCATTAAACTTTTACTTATTTTTCTGGCCTAAAATGCTTTTCCTAATTAGGGGCGTGGGAGTGGGTTTCTTCATCCTTAACTCCTTGGCCTCCCCACTAGGCAGGGACGGGAAATGCACCTTCCTGCAATGGGAACTCCTTATGACAACTTCGCCTTTGAATTTCTTTTTGCACAGCCCTGGGCGAAGCACTTTCTCACCCACCAGGGTTGGAGGAGCCCCAACAGCGGAACAAAAGGATGGCCAGGGGTTTCCCCTCTCAGTCCTTGACTGCCAATTGAATAAAATATTGCGGGGAGGGCAGGTAAGCCCCACCCTGCATAACTAATCACATGACATGGTGCACACACACCACTTGAATGGCAATGCCCATCAACTGAGGGGGGAACCTGCCCCCCTCAAATATTTTATTGGTGGGACTGAATATCCCTCGGCCCCTGGGAGTTGGCTCCTATGGTTATTGATTGTGGCAATTCCTATCTATTGTTCTGTCGGTATGTGAGTCTGTGATAGGCTTTAGAGCAGCCTTCCCCAACCGCCGGGGCTCTCCAAGCTGATATTTGACTTCCCAGCTCCCATCAGTTCCAGGCACCCAAAAGTCAAGGAAGAATGAGAAGTCCCAGAGATTCTGCTTCCAGGGTTAATCCCTATACGTTTACTCCAAAGTAAATCTCATTATGTTCAGTGGGAGTTTCTCCAAGGTATGTGTGACCAGGAGTGCAGCTTTAGTTTCCATTAGTTTCCTTTGAATGATAGATGGCTGGAGAGTTATCAAGGGTTTTTTATGTTTTCTTTATTTCAAAGTGTCTAATCAGAGTTTACTGAAAAGGGGATCAGACTGAAAAACAGGCATTGAGGTTTCCAGCAATCAATTTCGGGAGCAGTCACTTAAGGGACCCCCCCCCCACTTCCACTCCTCACACAAACATACACACCATCTCCAGAGCACTGTTTGTGTGATGAATCAGCAGTTCAAGTAACATCTTACTCAACCATTATGAGTAACATTAAGCGTTTTTGGGCATCAAAGTAGGCAAAACCACTCACGATAGTATCACGCTTCTTATAATAAACTATTTCAAAAACTTGGGCAGTGAATTACCAGAGCTCCTATCACTAACTGACTTATCTGCTTGCTTGGTTCTTAAAAAAAAATGACACCCCACCTTTCCACTATAAAATGCCACTCAAGGTGATTAGCAACATCCGCTCCCTAAAAGAAATCAAAATAAAACAATTTAAAACCCAAAATAGCGTGGCAGATAACTAAAACATCAGAGTGCATAAAAAAGCACCTAGGCTAATAAAAAGCCTGCCTAAAGAAAATTTAGGTAAACTTTCAAGTTTGCTGTTTGCCAGAACATGTTGCTTTGAGTGGTGAGGAAGAGTCTTCATTAAAATGCTTTGTTTCACATGGTGCTTCACATGGTGTTTCACATTCTAAATACCTGGGAGATTTGCTTATATTTGTTCCTGCTCTCCCCATGGGAGCTTCAGGTGACAACTCTACCATTCTATGATTCTATGACAGACTTTTCTGATTAGTAACTTTGGCCGTAGTTGGAAGGGGGAGCTAACAGACAAGACCTGCGGGTGGCAGCAGGATGAGGCCGAAGGGTGCAAAATTGGCTCCCAGCCCCAGCGTTCCCCGGGGGCTCCTGACTTGGTCCCAGGAATCAACTGCATGCACTCTGAAAAGGCAACATGTTTCCTTAAGGCTGGCTGCTGCCTTGCTCACGAGCCCTTCTGGCCTGACTGTGGCAGACACTTTGAAGGAACTGGCTTTGAGCTCCACACCAGACAAAGGAGCCATTCACAAGAGCCCAAACCTGCTCTCTCTCACCTGCTTCATCAAACTGTAGCATTTTCAGCACTGTGGAAAACAATAAGCTCTTATCCAGCTCCACTGTGGCCTTGCAGCTAAAAACATTCTGCCTTTAAACCCTCCTTTTACTTGCTAGACAGAAACATTGGTTTTCTCACAAGATAACATTTGGGGTTTGGCAGACAAACGCAAGCGAAAACAAGCCAGCTCCTGAAAAGTTCCCAGGATATTTTTAGGAACAAAGATGGGTGGTTACATTTACCCAGTTCCAATGTAGAAGTGCAGGCGCTTCTTTAAAGAAGGAAGAACAACACCTTGGCCCTCTTGCTGCCTCTCCTGGTGAGAAAGAATCGCCCCAGTGGCTGCTGGAATATTATTCTCTGAAGAGCAACCACTGAAAAACTCCTAAAAACTGCCAGGGTTGACTCTCTGTGCATAGCAATTGGAATTCCAGTTCAACTCAATGGGTCGGATTCCCCAGAAATGGGATTATTAGACTAACGTGGGCATAGCTCCAACACACCCTCCATCTCCCAGCTTGCCACATTATGCTCCAAACTGCAAGTGAAAGAAGCAATGCTGAAATCGCACACAGCAGGCTTTCTTCCAACAGCTGTTTTGCTGTTGCAAGAAAGAGATGTCAGAGATGGGCTGGCTTCAGTCTTGCTGGGGTGACTTAATCTACCAGGCTAAGAAACTTTACACACTGCAGGGATTAAATAATTCAGGGTTTTGCATACCCAAAACTGCAAAATCAGACAACATGGAAACTAAAGTTTTTAGATCTTAATTTCTTCATAAGCACAAGTGAAAACGGGATTTTATTTTATTTTTAATTGCCCCGTATTAAACAGGGGTTACACAGTGGATGATGGTCCACTAAGGCAACAGGCACACAGCCCTCTCACATAACATGTTACACATTTTTAAAATAAATTCTCCCCAACCCAAAAAAATCAGTGTCACACATTCTTTCACGTTCAAAACACATTTTATACTTCTACTTGAATTCAGAGAA